TTGGCCAGGCTGGTCTTGAACTCCTGACCTTAAGTGATCCACCCATCTTGGTCTCCCAAAGTGCTGGGGTTACAGGCGTGAGCCACCGTGCCCGGCCGAGTGGTTCATTCTTGTGATGAAACTGAAACACTTTCTCCTCGCACAGGCCCCCAGTCTCCTCAGATGACAGGCTCTGCGGGTTCTGCCTGCTTGACCCTTCTGAAATTCGTACTGCAAGGCCTCGCTGGCTCCCACTGGGCCAACAGCAATGGGTCTCTGATGGAGCCACCTCCCCTGGGAACTTGCTTCCCTGTTGGTAGGCACAGACCCCATCATGCCGCCCTCGTTTTTTATTTTTAAATATTTGTTTTTTGTAGAGGCGGGTCTCACTATGTTGCCCAAACTGGTCTTGAACTTCTGCGCTCAAAAGATCCTCCCGCCTCAGTCCGCCAAGTAGCTGGGACGACAGGTTTAACTGCGCCAGGCAGCATCTCCGTTGTTTAAACTATTTAACACTTCCAGCTCCATGTGGTAAAACTGATGGAAAACTTTGTATTCTAGCTTCTTCCTACTGTTAGGGCCTCATCTTCCCCACACACACCCAAAGGTCTGGTCACACTAGGCTGTTATAAAGGACGCCTTTGTCGCACCCAGGTTCTACTCCTCAGTCACCCTCCACAATGTGCTTGCGCCAGCAGCCCTCGGAGAGCTACACTCCAGCCTGGGACGGCCTCCCAAGGCTCTGTTCCAGTGTGCGGAGGCTGAGCGATTCCCGGTGGCACCAACATACCCAGCCCTCCGGGAGAACCTCAGGTGAGACACACGCACACTGCTTCAGCCCCTCGACCCCCTGGTACACACTTATCACTCGGGAACTGACCTACATTTTCATTAAACTCATGTTTTCAACCAAGAATTCTGGATATTTACCTCCTACATAAAGTTCCTAAAACAAACCAGTTTCAACTTCAGGGCGCGTGCCTGCTACTAGTGTCCATCCGGTAAGGTCTTAGAAGTAGGCTCCTCACCCCAGCCCCAGATCCTCCAAGCCGCTGACCTCGCTTCGCTCCCTCCCGCCGTCTCCTACCTTCCTGCGAAGCTGCCGGCGACAGGTGCTTGGCTGTCGCGGACCCCGGGTGCAGGCTGTCCACAGGCTTCTCCGACTCCCTGTCTGCCTGCCTGGTTTCCTGCGAATGCTTCTCCATCAACTTATCCTTAGATTTTGGAACCGCATAGATGGATTCCTTCTTTTGCTCCTCACCTGAAACATACGGATCACCCGTCAGACCCGGGACTTACCGAATCCAGGGCAGTGGGTCCCATCGCCTTCAGTCGCCTGTTTGGGTCTAGAATAAGCTGGCTTCAGTCTCGAGTCTCTCCGTTTCCGTAACCGCCTCAGGCGGGAACACACTTAAG